CACATCTAGTTGCCTGTTTGGTGCCCACACTTAGAGGATTCCATAAGCACTTCATATTGAACACTCACTAAAAGAGGTTTGGGAACAAATCATGCAGATATCTAGATGGTTAGAGGGAACAACAGATGAAACAGCAAGGCTGGTGTGACGAGAGAGGAGAAGCGGGGGAACCTAGCAGATGAGGGCCAGGTGATGGGCCAGACCTCACAGGGCCTTGTAGGCCATGACAAGAACCTTGACTCAGGTAGGACGCCATGGCATGGTTTTGAGCAGAAGAGTGACATGGCATGGCTGAAGTTATGTCTTAGCAAAATTACTTCTGCAAAGTACAAAAAAATGTGTGATGATAAGAAGAGAAGCAAGGAAACCAGTTGGTGATGACTGTGACCTTCGTAGTAGCAGCAAGAAATGTTTGGATTCCAGATAATTTTGAAGGAAAATCCATCTGGACTTGCTAGAAGTTCGTATGCAGGGTGAGTGAGAAAGAGAAGACTCCGTTTGATCGTAGGGTTTTTGGTGTGAGCAGCTAGATTGAATTGCTGGTGAGTGAGACAGGCAGAACTGTGAAAGAAACTTGTTGGGGAAGCTCAGTGCTGGATATGTTGAGCTTGAAATGTCCATCAAACACCGAGTGGAGAACAGCAGTTGGACGTACAAGTTTGAAGTTTGAGAGAAAGTACAGAGCTAGAGAAAATTGGGGGGTTATTAGCATATTATGAAGAGGTCAGGAATCAGCCAAGGAGACCAAAAAAGAGTGGCCAGTCAGGAAGAGGCAAACCAGAAGAGTCTGGGGTCCTGGAAGCCGTGAAAGAAGTGCTTATTAGCATGTGGTGTGCTACCACCATGAGGCCAGACAAAATAACTGAGCTTCAATCCTCAGATTTTGTAATGTAGAAATTATTGTGACTTGAGCAGTTTCAGGGGAGTGGTAGAAGCAAAATACCTGACTGAAGTGGGTTTGAGAGAAACCAGGAAGAGGGGAATTAGATACAGCTTAGAGGACTGTTTTGAAGAGTTTTGCTATAAAGAGAAACCAAGAAACAGCATGGTGGCTGGAGTTAGAAATGGGGTCAAGAGAAGAGTGTCTCTGTTTGTTTTAAGATTAACAAGGTCAGTTTATGAGTGACATCCAAACTCCACATCCTTTCTGCTAGATGGTGTCTCTGTCATGTACCAGCTTCCCATCTATACCTGGATCTGTTTCTAAACTCTCCCTTCCATTTCATTGGTTTATTTGCTCAATCCTCAAATTCTGTTTTTTTTTTTTTTCCTTTTTGTCTTTTTTTTTTCATGTCCAGCAACGGATCGCAACCCTCGGTACTGCGCTCGCACCTCGCTCAGCCAGTGAGTGGGAACCGGTCTGTATGTGGGATCCGAACCCTCAGCGGGAGTGCCGCCACGCTCCCAAGTGGCGCACTGTAGCAGTGCGCCACCGGGCCGGCCCCCTCAAATTCTGTTTTTATCACTAAATATAAGTTTTGGAATACAGGTTCCTTCAAAATTATTTCTAGAATTTTAATTGGAATTGCATTAATTTTCTGATTAATGTGGAGGGAGTTGTCATCCACGAACATTATCTATTTATTTGAATCTTCCTTTATGTCCTTTAATGAAATTTAAACTTCTTCTCCATAAAGTTCTTGTACCTTTATAGGACCCTTTAAAGGGAATTTTCAGATGTCCTATAGATTTTGTTGCTATTATGAATAGGGTTGTCTTTTCTCTTATATCCTCTACTTGATTATTGCTGATTTATAAGAATATTATTGTTTTCCCTAAACTGATTTTATATCTAGCAGAGTTTCTAAGCTCTTATTAATTCCAGTAGTTTCATTCTATTATGATGATGTGTACAGAAGTCCTGTTATATGCAATAATGGTTTTCTATTTAGTCTTTCCCAATTCTTATATATTTTACTTCTTTTTCTTCTTTTATTGCATTGGTCTGGATCTCTAATACTGTTTTGAACAGTGGCAATAATACAGACTTTCGGGCCGGCCCGGTGGCGCACTGCTACAGTGCGCCGCTTGGGAAGTGTGGCGGTGCTCCCGCTGAGGGTTCGGATCCCACATACAGACCGGTTCCCGCTCACTGGCTGAGCGAGGTGCGGGAGCAACACCGAGGGTTGCGATCCCGTGCCGGTCCCGGTCCGGTACGGGCACAACACTGAGGGTTGCTGTCCGTTGCTGGACACAAAAAAAGACAAAAAGGAAAAAAAATAATAATAATAATACAGACTTTCTTATTCCCAGTATAGGAGCATTTCTTCATAACATTTTATGATAAGTTTTGGTGGATGGCCTTTGTCAAATAATTCCAAGATTTGGAGACCTTTTCATTAAAATAATAAATAGATGTTGAACTTTAGCAAATATTTTTTATATCTATTATGATAAAGAAATCATAGATTTGTCTCATGGTTGAATTATATTAACATATTTTCTGATGTTAAACAATCCTTTAATTCCTGAGAAAACTCCTGCTTGATTACAATATATTTTTCTTCACTGTTAGATTTCTTTAGCTAATATTTTAATTTGAATTTTATATTTATAATTTAAATGGGCCTATCACTTTTTGTCTTACATACTTTAGCAAGAACCAATGTTATGGTAGCTTTAATAGACAGTGCGACTATTTTCCAATCTTTCTGCTTCATGGAGCCACTAAGACCAGGCTTGATAGTTTATTCAAAGGACAGGGCCCCCCTTAAGGCTCTCTAAGCTTGGGGCCTTTGGGTTGGGAGTAGTCTGTGATTCTCTCTCTTCTGTCTATATCATTTCTCCTTTTTATTTTCTATTTTTGTTTGTCCATTTTCATGATAATCTTTCCAGAATTTTCCCTCACACATTCTTTTTTATAAATTTGGTTTTATGTATTTTTATCGTAGTCCATTTTCTTCCATTGATTTTTTTCCTTATTTTTATACACTCTTATTTTATTACATTGTGTTTTTACTCCTCTTCAGCTTCTTACATTTAGCTTATTGATTTTACTTCTTATATTCCAATAAATATGTTAAAGATAAATATTTTCAGAGGTCGTTCCTCAATGTTCTAAGTAATTTTTTAAATTTCCTCTAATTACAGATTCACTTCTCCCATCTCTGAAATTGAGTTTGGGAGAGAAAGTCAACAGACTGTGCTACTAGTTAGCCTCTGTGTCAGAAATATGAAAATTCCCCAAGTTGTAATAGAGATGGCTACTGGTGTCTGGCTCTGTCCCTAGACTATGAGCATGTAGTGGAGACAGTGGCTCCCTTGCTAATTCCTCTGTCCCTGGGACTTAGCTCAGTGATTGGTATTTACCCACTGGATAAAATATGTTTGCCAGAGTTTTTCTTTAAAGAGTATATAATAGGCTCTGAAACACAATTTCTGAGTTTCTAACTTGAGCAACATATAGTTCTTTGTCCATTTGGTATTAGTTAAACTCTTCTGACTTTCAGCATCTGGGCAGCCAGAGGTAGGGCATTTTGTTTCTTCTTCCCACCAGCCCACCCTACCCAACATGTGAGATGAGCTCATTTGATCAAAGCACAAGCTAGTTTTGGGCTTCAGATACCTTGTATATATTGAGGAAAATCACATGAAATGTTATTTGAAAAGCAAATTTTTAAGTTCTCCCCATAGAGTACATACCCTAAAAAAATACTTCTTGTATGAGTTTAACGCATTCAGAATCACATAGGAAATGGGTTTTGAAAGCATACCACTTAGTTTCTACATTAGTAAAAGAACTAATCTAGAAGATTCCCACACATTCCAGATGCCTTAAATTTTAAGATTCCGTGATTCAGACCTTCCACCTGCTTTATGGAGAGATCCTAGCATGATATATTACATTTAAAGAAAGGACACACAAATTACTGATGTTCAAGTGTGGTTTGAAAGCCAGATCAGATTAGCTTCTGATACCTTAGATGCTTCATAGTACATAGAAATCATTCTGTAAAAGCTTGTTGATTCCTATACTGGGAGGATTCAAATGTGCTGTCTCATGCTTTTTATGGCCCTTTCTTTCCAAAGGAAAAACAAATCTTGGTAAGTGAAACAGCAATCTAAAATGTTTAGCACAAGTTCAAATAAATGTGTATCACCATTTGTGTGCTAGGTCAAAAATCAAACTATTTTTCTTATTGTGGGGTAAAATGGACTTTAAGTGAACCTGACTAAGTAATATGGCATAGAGTTCTCGTGACATCTGTAGTAATCATTTAAAAATACAGGATTTCATACCTAGAGGAATCTTCCTCCCTGAGAAACTGCAGATTTCTGAGTTTTTAATCCTAAGGAAGAAGAAAATAACCTTAATCCAAGTAAAACTTTAAACATGCAAAGAAGAAAAATTTTCAAACCAAACATATTGCTTGTGTTCAAAATATGTTTTTAATGTCAGAAGTTATCCTTATGGGCTGGCCCGGTGGCGCACTCGGTAGAGTGCAGCGCTTGGGAGCGCGGTGGTAGCGCCGCCGAGGGTTTGCATCCCATGTAGAGACCGGTCTGCTCACTGGTTGAGTGCGGTGTGGGCGCGACACCAAGGGTTGCGATCCCGTTGCCGGTCGCGGTGCAGGCGCGACACTGAGTGTTGCGATCCCGTTACCGGTCACTAAAAAAGACAAAAAGGGGAAAAAAAAGAAAAGTTATCCTTATAATTTATGAGAGACAAAATACAAACTAAAAGTTTAGATAATAATCAAGGAAGCATAACAGTATAAATTATGGTAAGTAGTTTGTGAAGGAATCAAACAGGATAAACAGTGGGAAATGCTGGAGTGGTCCCTTCTGTAAAGTGAGTGATGAGGGAGGCCCCTGCTGGAGGCAGCATGAGCGGGGACGCAGCACACACACAGGGAGGAACAGGAGAGAGAGGGCAGCTGGGGTGAGGAAACGACACGGCCGGGGGCCATGAGAAGACGTTTGACGAGGGGGTGCCTGAGCTGGGCAGGGCAAAGCAGGGAGATGGGGCCACACAGACCTCCTCGGGGGTGCCGGAGCCATGAGACTGGAGGCCGTGATGTCTTCCAAGGAGCAGGGAGTCTTCCTCCTGTCCCGCACTCACAGAAGGGGCATTGCGGGCACGTTCCTAGATGGAGAAGCACTGCTCAGAGCACGCAGTTCATCTTTCTTCGCTGCAATAGGAATTCTGCCACAGGATGCTTCCCATCCAGTCATAGGTTGCCATTGCTCTCAGTGGCCCTTGACAATGTAGACTTTGACAAGTACCACGTGAGTTATCTCTGAGCCTGGAGGGGATCTGTGGATGTGTTTCTCTTCTTCAGCATTTCTGGATTGAAGCTGGTGGGGGAGTCCTTCTCTCCAGCATTTCACCTACAACTGGAAGACAGCACTGGGTCTCGAGAGAAAGATGTTAAACTACTTCAAGAAATTGTTAACCAAGTAAGTGTCTAGCTACTAGCCACTCAAGGGACTCTCCCCAGACCTCCTGCTGCCCTCACCCCAAGCACTGCTCTTTATGTCACTTTTAAGAAAGGGCTCTTTGCCCCATGAGATATATCAAGTATAATGGAAATTGCTGGTCACCCCGCTCACGAGGTGGAATTGTCCTAATGCTCCAGATCCTTCCTTGGGTCTGGCTCTGCCCAGCTGAGCTCATGGAATGTCCGTGGTGACTAACTGCAGTCCCTCCCATTCGGTCAGTTTACACCTCCCACTGAAATTGTTGAGTTTCATGCCACTTGGTATTTAAATACACTTGGTTTCTACTTGGAATAATTAGCCTTGCAGATGACTCATTGCACACCATTTACAGAGCCAGGCTTTTGTGTGCATACTTGTGGGGGAGGCAGTGTGTGTAGGAGCTGCACACACTCCTGGACAGCTGGCTGACTTGGGGTAGAAACCCCCGATGTAGCTCAGAAATGGTCCATTAACTAGTGTCCTGAAATCATAATACTCTTGTAATCAAAAAGGAAGGAAGGAAGACCACTTCAGTAACATGCCTAATTTGGAGACTTATTTAAATTTCTTTATCTTTTGAAAGTCATTTCATTACTAATTATTGCTTAGTTATTGACTAAGAAACCCATCACTGGGGAAAACATTTACCCTTTTCTATTCAGGAGAGCTGCCTCTCCTGAGTACTCCCCTCACTTTACCCTGGGCTGCTGCTCCTTTTAAAGTGTGTCCAGAGGACTGTGCCACTGTAAATGTGCATGCCTTGGGATGACACCGCCTATTACTATAACCTGAAATACGCCTACTATGTACAGCTGTCCTTCAGTATTGCGGGACATTGGTTCCAGGACCCCTGCAGATACCAAAATCCTCAATGCTCAAGTATCTGATATAAAATAATGTACTATTTGTATCTAGCCTGTGCATATCCTCCCATATACTTTAAATCATCTCTGGATTACTTATAACACCCAATAAATGCTATGGAAATAGTTGTTATACTGTACTGCTTTTTATTCGTATTGTTTTTATTCTTGTTTTGTTGTTATTTATTTATTTTCTAATATGCTCAGTCCTCCTTATCTGCAGGTTCCACATCCATGGATTCAACCAACTGTGTATCAAAAATATTTGAAAAATAAAACAATAAGAATTAACAATGGAACAATTTAAAAAATACAAATTTTAAAACAATACAGTATAACAACTCTTTCCATAGCATTTATATTGTATTAGGTATTACAGGTAACCTAGAGATGATTTCAAGTGTAAGGGAGAATGTGCGAGGGTTATACGCGAGTACTGTGCCGTTTTATATAGTGCAGTTGAGCATCTGCGGAGAGTGATGCCCACAGGATGCCCTGGAGCCAGGCCTCTGCGGATACTGAGGCCAGCTGTACTGGAGAGTGAGGGTGGGCTCTGCCCTGCTTCCTCCGCCTGCCTGTGCTTCACTCCAGAGGCACCTGTTCCGAGTCAGTGCCGTCAGGTGTCTTGGCGTAACAATGATGGCTGCTGCCTGTTGTGTGCCTTTTCCAGGCTGGGCACCATGCCAGGCATCATCCGTCCATACAGCATCTCCGAGGGCACCCTCGGTCCCATGGCTGTTGGGAATGCAGGCCCACGAGTGAAGGCAGCCCCTGGCTGCAGCACTTGCCTCAGCCATTGCGTAGCCTGCCGTGTTGGAACCACATAACCTGGAATAACAGATTCATGGAGAACTTTAAACAGTTTGCGGCCTACTGGGGTCAGCTGTATTAAAAAACGGAAATAAAAACAAACCCAGAACCTGAGCTTTCTAACTGAGGAGAAGTGTCAGATTATGAATGATCAGGCCGGACGACTTGCCTTGCTGACTGAGGAAGTGTCACAGGTGTCCCTCAGGCACAGCTCTGCAGGTGTGAAGGAAGACCCTCCTCAGAGGGAAAGAACACCCCATTGCCCTCTTTATTGCCTCAGTATTTTATTGCAGTGTTGCTTAAATACGTACAAACAACAAAACTAAGCACAACATTCTTGTGGTTAGAGTTTTTATACAAATGTAAAACTAAAACAGATTTATAAATTGAATACTGAAAGGATGAGCCATTAAAATTCAGATTCATTGCATTACCTGTGTGTGACAGGTGAGCTTCTTTTTTTCAGGGGAACCGCCCTCGGCAGTGTGGCTGAGGCCTGGCCACAGAGCTGCCCTGCCAGCCTCCTGGGCCATTGCTGGGCTGTGCGTGGTGGCTGCTGCTTCTCCCCAGGTCTGCCCTCGAACCACCTCCAGACCATTGTCTGTGCACACTTCGTGTCATGGGACACTGGCCTTCTCTTGATGCAGTGTAGCAATTCTACATTAAACCTCCTCTGCTCTTTTTTCATTAAGTAGCAACAGTTTCACTACTGCTTTGTTCCAGAGACACACAGAGGAGGGCATGTGAATGAAACGACTTAACATTAAAATATTAATATACTGCACTTACCTAGATTACCCACATAACAAACACAGGAGCTGGAAGGCTGCAGACAGCCCACAGATCCCAGAGTCATGTCTGTGGGCCCCAGTCTCTTCAGGAAATCATCTGGAGAGTGAGTGACAGGAGAACATTCTGGGACTGGAAGCAAAGTACTACCTAGAACTTTTCCTGTGGAGGAAGAAAAAGGAAGAAAGATCGTACAGGTTCTTTGCATAATCACAGCTTCCCTTGCACAAGTCTTCAAAACCCTTTGTCCCACTCTCTTTTTCTTTTCAGTATTTGAGGAGAGAGAAGAGTTGTAGAATGTAACTTGTTTAAGCTTTATAGAACTGAGAGGTTTTGCCAAGTTTCGTGTTGAGTTGCTGGACAGGATGCTGTTTTTACAAACCAAACTGGTCTGTGATGTCTCTTAACCAGCCAGGGCTAGAAACAGAGCCAGTCCAGATGTTTTCAGGAGGAGTTCACTTTTCCAAGGAGCCGGCGAGGAGCTGTGATGACTGCCTGGGATTGTTCTCCGTGTCTCCCTTGCAGCTGCCAGCATGACCCCACCTCCAGGGTCATTCTTTTACTCCGGGCATTTGGAATAGTAGTTCTTTCCTTTACGCCTTGCTCTGTTGATTTGGGTTTTTTAAAAAATATAATTCACATACCATAAAGTTCGCCCTTTGAAGTATGCAGTTCAGTGGTTTTTCAAATTTTCACAGTATTGTGCAGCCATTACTATCTAATTCCAGAACATTTTTATCACCCTGAAAAGAAATCCCCATGACTATTATCTTGCTCTGGTTTTTATGCTTTTTTTTATTTTAGTAGAGAATGTTTTAATTTAAAAAAAAAAATGTTGACAGGTGGTTAGCGTATGGGAAAGCTGCGCAAAAAATTCGTTAACATCAGACACCTTGGTGCCTGTTATTGCTAATATTTAAAGTGTAGCGGTTTTTCTCTGACACAGCCCTGCTGCTGCTGTTCTTAAGTTCAGCTCTTGATTGCCCTACAGGGTTTTGCTCAAAGACATCCCCTGTGTTCTAATTCTGCTTTGTCTAAAATGACAACCACTAGCTGCCTATGGCTGTTTACACTTAAAATTAATTAATTTAAACTAAGTAAAATTAGAAATTCAGCCTCTCAGCAGTACCAGTCCCATCTCCAAGTGCTTGATAGTCACATAGGGCTCATGGCGACTGTGGTGGACACTGTAGGACGAGCATGTCTGTTGCTGCAGAGAGTTCTGTGGAACAGTGCTGCTCGAGGTGTTGTGGTGGCTCAGTTTTGTCCTTCAGCAGTTATAAGTGCAAAGTGCTGTGGGGGGTTGCAGGACGCCTTCCTGCTTTAATGGCTCCAGTGTCTGAAGTCCGGGGTGAAATGTGTTCCTTTCCCTTCATACAGTGCATGGACAGGAGCATTGCATTAACTCAGGCTCGCTACCTGGAGGAAGAAGAGAAGTGCCTCCCTCCTCCAAGGTGGGTTGACATTGAACGATGATCTGACTTTGTTTTCCTCCTTTAAACTCTATAAAATATATTATGTTTTGAAAAATTTTGAAAGACTAACAGGAAAAGAGGAATGTCTGTCATAAAATGTAGTACATCACCTGTTTTTTATCCTTAAAATAGATGTTTTCAAATTTTAACTGAAAAGCCCCCCGGGACCCACTGTGTACCCTCCCAGTTAACTCAAAGAAATGGCTGGGACCCCAAGAATGAACTGGGGCGAGCTCAAGTTCTGATCAGCTAACATCTGTCATAGCCCGAAGGTGGCAGGTTCTGCACCTGCAGCTTCTGCCAGGAGGAGGACAGTCCTGCAGAGAAGGGATAGTCATCTGGGTTGTGGTCGTGCCACCTCTGCCTGGCCAGGGCACATGTGACAGTTCATTCGGCAAACACTCATGAAGCACCTCAGGGAAAACAAAGCAGGGGCGTGGCAAACCTGAAGCATCAGCAGCACACACAGAAGGTACCAAAGGACACTAGCTTCTGTCATCAGAGCACTTACAAACTAGTCAAAGGAGGTGGTCACCCTAACCATGGTGGCATGGTCAGTGTTGGCCGGGCTTCCGAAATCAGGTGAACCTAAGCTGAGCCTGGAGAAATGAGTGTGTTTGCCAAACAGTGGGGGGCATTGTGGACTTCCAGCAGCGAGGTGATGTGAGCTGTGCTCAGGATTTCCAGTGGCTTGGAGACCTCTGGGTACATCTGGGAGCTCAGAGCATAAGCCTCAGAGGGACCAGAGAGAGGGGTCCTGGAGAAGGTCAGGTGCAAGTCAGGGAGGTCACTGGAGAGCACACCGAGGAGTCTGAGTGCTCTGCAGACACAGGGCACCAGCCTGGGGTTTTGGAAGCTCACTCTGGCAGCAGCTCGGCAGCATCTTAGAGACCCTGCGCCCTCATTTTCCAGTGCACCCACGCACATGTGGGTCCTGTGCTTGCTTGTGACTGAGAGGACTGGACGTGCTTGTTTGTAGCCTCAGCCCTCCATGCCCAGCACACTGCGGCTCAGTAAACGTGTGTCCAGTGGATGAAGCAGGGGCTTGCAAAGGAGATGAAAGGCACAGAGGTAGCATTGTACTGTCAAGATGGTGTTTCTTCAGTTTCCTGGAAACTTGAACATTTCTGCCTTGCCTCAAAGTATTACAGACCTTCCACATTGCCCTATTGAATTATAAATATGAACAACCAGGCATTCACTGATTTGAGAAATGTTGAATTCCTGCTTTGTGCCTGGTACTGCTCGAAGCAGTAAGTTGTTGAAAGGGAACCGCTTCCCAGCCCCATCATCAGACCTCCACAGCCTGGCCACCCTAACTGGACACACACGAGTGGTCCAGGCCGGCAGCAGACAGCTGGCAGCGGCCAGTAGGGAATGTGTTAGGCTTGCAGGCCACAGCGTCCCTGTCACATGCAGAGAAACTAATGTGTGGGCCGAGTTCCAAGAGAGCTTTGCTTTTACAAACAGGCAGCACTGGGTCTGGCTTTCTGGTTATAGATGACTGACACTTGGTGTGGACTCTCACTTTGTAATCTTTTGTGTCCTTTATGATTTCTCAGCATTAGGGTTGTGGTCACAGTGGAACAAACAGAAGAAGAACTGGAGAAAGCCGCATCCGTCATCAAGGAGGTGGCCCAAGAAGTCTTGCTGTAGCTGAGTCCCAGGACCCAGTGGCCTCCTGCTACCCAACATGCTGATGGCAGTTTTCAGAGACCTCCCACTGGCCAGGGAGTGACCTAATGAGAGCACCTGAATATTTGATAATGTTGTTACCAAATGGTGTGGAGATGGACTGAGTGTGTGACCCTGAGAAGGATGCTTCTTATTTTAACAAAGAAAACACATCTAAAAGCCCGGGAACTGATCTTTTTAAGAGGAAAACTAATGACAGCGTATAACTGGTATTTAAATTGTGCTGTTTAGTACTATTTAAAGGTTTTATTATACTAGTATTTTATATCCTTTTTTGTTGTGGTCATTTAAAACTGGAGCTTTAGTTTCTCTTCTCTCCCTTGTAATAGTAACAATTCCATAAGCACTCCCTAACTAATGAATACTTCATAGAAAAAACAGCTTAGCAGCATTAAAGCCAAGAGGAACACGTCAGCATATGAGACACAAAATTTATTAGTGAAGATCTAATTCAACCACATCTTTTCCAGTCTTCATCATACGGAACTAAATGGTGGCAAAAAAGAACACTACTTATGTGATTATTATAAACTTCATTATAATATATTTGAATCCTAGGATTTTTATATAAACTAAATATTGATGTTATACCATTTCTAATCTCAGCCTCCGTAACCAGAGAATATTCATTATGCTTCCTAATTGAGCAATAATTTAACTCAAATACTATTTTATTTTAATATAATTGACTCTTACATGATTATATGTTTCCAATCTATTTTACGAAGAGGGTTATTCTGTTGATCACAAAATATAAATCATGTTCTTCATATTTTAGAGTATCTCAAATGTATTCTTTTTTTGTATGGTGTGTTTTCTTAGAGAGTATAACTACAGGCTTTTTCTTAGCTAAAAAAAAATGAGAATTTTTTTCTTTTCAGCTTAAGAATTCCAAATACGGGAGTCCCTCCTTATCTGAAGTTTTAGTTATCCATGGTCAACCGTGGTCTGAAAATATTAAGGGGAAATTTTCAGAAATAAACAATTCATAAGTTTTAAATTGAGCACCATTCAGAATAGCGTGACGAAATCTCTTGCTGTCCCATCTGGGACGTGAACCACCCTTTTGCCCAGTGCATTCACACTGTACACACCACCCACCTGCTAGTCACTTAGTAATTGAAAAGACGGTGTATCTACAGTTCAGTGCTATCTGCAGTTTCAGGCATCCACTGGGGGTCTTGGAACGCATCCCCACACATGAGGAGGACTACTGTACCTAAAAAAGATGTGAAAGCACTAAAAATAAAATTTTTAAGCTGTATTTTACCCGTTTTTTTCTTTAGCAAACCAATTTAAGTGGTATTAAAGGTTGGTGATATTTGCCACAAGATAGCACATAAATATTACACCGTTATTCCTTCTCTTATTAATGTTCAGTTTCTATTTGCTTGAGGTATTCCGTACATATGTGCCTTGTGATTGCTGCTGCTTTAAAGGATTCTGTACTCTCTAGGGGATGAATGTTTTGTTTCATTCTGTTTTTTAATGAAATAAACCTACATTCCTGATTATCAGTCTATTTGTGTATTAATTTTAACTTTTTTACAAACCTAGGGTGATATTCCTTTTGTGTGTCTTGTTTTGTTTTGAAAATAATAATTTAATTTTTTAGTCTCTTTCTTCACACCCAACCGAAGAATGTACAGTATCTGAAACTTCCTACATTCCCACAGCGAGCATGGGCCGCGTAAGACCACAAAAGTACCAGTCATCATTTCTGTAAACAGATAATAGTAACTTTTCAGTAACTTTAATAATACTTTTTTAAAAAGTCAGAATAGCAGCATCTATATGTTTATTGCTACTTTAAAAAAAATAATTGGAAGTTTGGGGACAAAGAGACTTCAGTCCTAGAAACACAACAACATTTTAAACAAAAAGGATCAAAATCTTTTATATTGTAACTGTAAAGTGACTACAGTCCAGTAATGTACACCACACACACACACACACACACACACACACAGGAAACAATAAAATTTGGTTTAAACAGGCTAAATGCTGAGAAAGGACAGTCATCTCAAATCTGAAGTAGGGTACAAGTTTCTTTTACAAAGAGCGAGAGGGCTCCTAAGTGCCCCATCGATGATCCTGTGTTTAGAAAGGCAGTGGCTTGGCGTGAGCACTGTGGAAACCATTTGGAGCCCATCTCCACTTACCACCACTGCTCGGAGGGGAGAAGGGAGCCACACAGCTGCTCCCTTTTTATTGTCTACAGCTGTATTTCAACTCAGGAAAAGTAGAACTTTGAGGCAAGTTGGGACAGAAAAGATAACCATTATTTTATCAAGTTCAGAACTGCACTAACTGTACCACACACACTTATTTTATGTACCACTAAAAACAACTGTATCTGTAATATGTCATCAGCTGTAAAATCTCTTTCAGTATCTGAGCTATTATAATGTGGGTGCAGATGATGCATTTTAAAATCGATGTAATAAGACAATCATCTGACATATAAGCCTGACACCATCTTTCCTTGTAGACATAAAACCTTAGTCCCAGGAGGTAGAGATGTCCAAGCTTAATGGTGGCCAGCTAAATCTGAATATCTCCTTACATCTTCCCAAAACACCATCCTTATGGTGACATCAAATAAAAACATGCATAACCCACATATACACTATGGGTTATGCTATAGAGAATACTTCCCCTACTTAACTGCCTGCTAAAGAGGAAAATGGGCTAGAAAGCTTAAGAATAATGGGACACGGATTAATTAAATAATCCCAATAGCAACATAGAAAGAAAACGAAAGTGGAGGATTTTCCTGAGATTCAAGGGAAAAAGAAATGTGAATCAAGGAATTTATATCCAAAAAGCCATCAAGACTATAGAAAAACAGTTTAGAACTCAATACTGTATTTGTGAGCTTCCTGAGGAATTTACTACTGGAAAGCACCTATTCAAGGAATGCAGAATAAGTTCATTATGTAGATTATAAGTGGAGTACAATGATACCATTTTGAAATGACAAAGGAAATACTAGAAGATTAAGAAAAGGTTGAGCGGGGGGGATTAAGGACTTCATAAGTTTTGATTATAAAGATAACTAGTAGCACAGAAACACAAATCTTCCTAAATTCTTTTCAGAAAAATAAGTCAAATAAGACCACGTAGAGGGAAAAATATACATAACAATATACACACAAAATACAAGAAAATAGCATGAGTTGAGACCAAACATATTAGTCATACCAGTAAGTGTGCGTGCACCTCATGCCCACTCCAAGAAAAAGTTTCAAACTGGTTCACAAAGCAAAACAAGCTCTGCTTTAATTTAGAGACAGACCTAAACTCAATGACTGGGAAAGGTGAACATAAAGAAAACTGGAAATGAAAGCAAAGATAGTACTTCTGATATCAGACAAGGTAGAATTCTAGCCAATAGACATTAAGCTTGTAATGCTAAAGGACACAATCCAAAATAATGACAGGATAATTATGAATATTTTTGCACTAAATACCACAAGAACCCACATTCACAAAACATAGTACAGGAGATTTA